ACCGGTTTAAAATAGGAGCCAAAATCCGGGGTTGTAAACATAATAGGGGGGACAGGAGGAAACTCACGTCGGAAATTACGTAAACCCGTCGGTAGACTGGTCACTGCAGAAGGCTAATGCATAACTTATTGCGCCTTATCTATAAAGAATCCATCCCAAGTGACAAAGAGCGAAACAAATTAAATGCTAGAGTAACGAACGGGTATTTAAACACTGCCTGAAATGTCAATTCAACATGGTTTGCGAAACAAATTAAATGCTAGAGTAACGAATGGGTATTTAAACACTGTCTGAAAAGGTCAATTCAACATGGTTAAATGTGGAAAGATGGGCGTGATACTTGCGCGCTTGAGCCACTTTGCACAACGCATGCCCGGAAAAACTAAATGCGCAGGAGTACCTAGGACCTTAATCTCTCAATTCGGTAAACTTAGGTTCTGAGAGTCCGTTGGGAAATTCGCATCCCAGGAGCAATCTTGAATAGATGCGACAGAGCCTGACATTTCGGAACGGCGAAAAAGGACTGGAGTAAGAGGACCACAGGTATAAAATGCACATACCAGAACAAACGTCAGCTAGAGCGGGGTCACCGAATCTGAACGGACAAGCTATCTTAATATCGTCAATGAAGAAAAAAGGAATCCATGAATGATCAACGTATAGGGAGAGTTGTAGGGGGACAAGTGCGCTACCCCGAACAGCTTCGCTTGTGATAGAAAGTGGTAACGGGAGCAGGTCCATGATTTCATTGACCTTGGTTCTCCCAGCGAAGTAAGAAATGGGCCAGCGCAGAAGCGTGCCACCAGATCGTAATTTATTGAATAGTGCACCCAGATGGACTTCATAAAACGCCTTGCAAATATCATGGTAAATGTGACCAATAGATAGCCCGTCATGGTAAGCAGACGGAATGTAATTAAATTAATCTACCCGGCATGTGTCAACCGACAGGTGCGCCACAACCCGCATTGTTGGATGTTGTGGGTCTTGGTTGTGACCAGGTAATTCATGACAGGGACTTTGATAAGGCGCTCTAGGGTACTAAGAAGCAATTTAGTATGGTGTATGCCACGATAGCAATCTTTTAAAGTTTGTGGACCTGTCTTTCATTGAGGGATAATAATGAAGTGCTTTTAAGGACTTGGAACTGTCAGTGGAGGTGTTGAAAAGATTGAGGGTGTTGAGCCATCAGCCTTTAAGATGAGCAAGGAGATACGGTCAGTGTTCGGGAAACTGGAGTCTCTAAGGCTGTCGAGTGAGTAGGTCAATTAAAGTAAATTGACCGGAAGTGCGCAGGCGAGGTTTAGTTCGTCAGTAGATATGTTCACCATGGAACCAGTTAGTGAGCATCGAGTGGGCAGGATCAATCCAAGATGCCTATAGCAGCCGGCGAATTTTGGAGTTTGGAATTCCACGATGTTGGCGGAGCTAGAAAGAGGCTGTTCGTCAGCGGCCACAATGCATGGAATTGCAGAGGAATTGAAGAAGTAAAGCCTGTAAGTGGGCGCCTCACCATCCTAGATTGAAGGACATAGCCTATGATGGTAGATTCCTCGTCCATTTCAAGGGCCAGTTTTTCTTTGGTCATATCAGGTGCAATTTATCAATTAGAACAGGAGGGAGGGTTCTATAAGAGAGCATATGACTCTTCGGCTGCCACCAATGAAATTTTGCCCGGCTGGTACAATAGAACATAGGTGGTCAGTGATGGTGGTGTCTCCATAGGTTTGTGAGTCACGCGAGGGCAGCCTAAAGAGTTGAAATCTTCCTTCACCGCTGAGCTGGGGCACTGGACCGAAAAACGGATGGGGTTATTAAGACCGGCACCTCCCGGGAAGTTCTGGATCCCCAATGACCTATTTGGATGAGTGCAATTGAGCCACGGAGGTTTGTTGAACAACTTACTGTCGTGTGAGGTGGGCGGCTTGCTTAATCCCGGGGGTAAGCGGGCGCTAGACTAAAGGGCAGGTAGCCAGCTAAATTCTGAATTTTAGGCCAGTAGTTTAGCAGCCATATAAGAAGTATATTTTTTGGTCCTAACGTGCACAACGTACCCACCATCACGGTGCTTGGAATGACTGACACGAGAAACGATGCAATTCATAGGGTAGACAAGGGCATCAGGTGTGCCAAACCTGATCCATGTTTAATGACTACTTGAAGGTTGAGCAAACAACGGAGGAGAAAATTTGAAGGTATTGCCATTTAAAAAAGAGGAAGAGGCCAGTGAGTTGATAGATATATGAAAAGAGCGATTAGATGGGACGGAAGAACGACTACTAAAACGTCTCGAAGCCCCATGAGTTTCATTTAGACTGGATAAGGGGGCGTTCAGCTTTGGTGCCAAATTGATGGATGAGTTAGAGCAAGTTAGGGGGTAACTTGTCTTGTAGATTTATAGCGTTGAAACACGCTGTGATGGAAGTGGGAAGAATAGACGGGTGGCGGCGCCGGTTGTAGAAGACTGCTGCATCTTAGTTGAATATAACACCGATGACGAGCAAGTTAGAAGCTGGAATGAACGAGCCTTTATGGGGGCCGTATTAGTTGCGGAGGAATTCGTCACAGTTAGGCAGGAATAACTTCAGTGAGGTGTACAGAATGGATTAGCATTTTCAGTGCTTACATTTTGGGAGAGAAATGGCTAAGGCAGGGGATCTAGACGTATCACTGAAGAAATTACGATGGAATAGGTCCCACAGTTCTATCAGCACCACACGGTGTGTGGGGGTAGTGTGGTCACTCAAACTTAGCTTATCTGGTGGTGCAACTTAAGAGACCTAAATGAGGGAGGAAAGATATGGGTGGGAAGTGATGGGTTGGTCTGCCGTGCGGCCAACATTCCTAGAGGAGGAATGGGCTAGGTAGATGTTGAACAGGATCACTTCGCTTGGATGTTTGTGATACACATGATGCTGAAACGGAGAGGACGGTTAAGACTGAGGACAGTAGGCGGGTTTTGGGATGATTCTGGAAAAAAACGATTGTTAAGTGCCTGCAGAAAAGAAATCTGCGCTGGAGCCTAGCGATGCCCACTAGATGGGACTGAATATCGTTATTATCGGTGTGCGGATAGCTAATGAAACAGAACTTCACGGGAAAAGTTGCGGTTTTGAGTCTGCCTATTACTTGACACGCATAGACCCAGAAGCTACAGAAGACGAATGACATCCTGGTTTGTAGGCGGAAGACCACGAGTGAGAACTCTGGCCATTGGAGAAGAGGACGTCACAATACCAGGATTTGTAGAAAGGGAGGGAAATAAAACCCCTGGAGAGAATAACGGGGGCATGGAGAGTTAATAAGTGAGGATGTATCAAAAAGCGTCGCCATTGCTACGTTAAGCCTAAAGTTGGGGTTGCGAAGATGCCACATCTGCCGCAATAACGGTGTATTCTGTTTGTGCGGTCGTGGTGGTCACGATGGTCACAAGTGCGAAAGTCGTTTTTCAAACTCATAATCAAAGGTCAGTTTCCGCACTTGAAATTTGGAAATCCGTGTCAGACCCCTGATTAATGAAGTCAATAAAATGCTGAGTCCGGCATTATTAAGGGTGTGAATTCTAGGAGGGCACCGTTGGGGGCAATCTCGGGCGGAAATTTTTAAAATATGCCCCTTAAGTGTCCCACAGTGTGTTGGAAGGGCTGGTAGTCATAGATGGCAGTGAAGATCGCGTTGAAGCGCTTGGTCTGCTTAGACTGCAGAGGAAAGAGAGATCCAGCCACGTGATACAAGCAAATCTCTGAGTTTAAAGAAATGAAGTGTATGCGACTTGGCCTAATCTTGATTGTACGGTTTTGGTGCACAAAAATGAGAATGGCCTGTGGTGCTAGTTAAGCTTTAAAGGAGATGAACTTATTTTCTAAATTGTGAACGCATGCAATGAGACAACCGAATAAGTGAGGCAGAATGTTATTTAATGTGGCGACCACTGGGAGGTCGATCAGCATGAGCGGCACATCAGAGATTGGAAGCGGAATTTCCTGAGCCGTTCCATTAAGGAAGTGAATGTAGCTGGCTTTCTTGGCTATAAATGGTTTCTGCGTAATTTCGGAGCGATGAATAGGGGCGCTTGGGATATATCAGCTTCCTGAAGGATGAGAGATAGTGCCTTTCGACAGGGTGAAAGCTGAAAACGGGGTGATTAGAGGGTTCAAAACAATCCTTTGGGTTATTGAGAATATCCCCATTCCTCCGTTATAGATACTCCGTCACCACATCTTTGACTTCGGAATGGGAGCAAGAATGAAAAATCAGCCACACAGAAAACTGAAAAAGAGAAAAATACTTCAAAGACAGGATTAACGACAAAATCGAAGCAGCTGAACATTTGAATAATATGACATATCACTGTGGTTGTGGACTGAAAATTAGCCGAGGACACCAATCGACTGAGTTCCGTACCCCTGTTTCTGACAGCGAGCGCAATCAAAAAAGGATAAATACAGGGTACACGCAAAATGCACTCGTTTTGAGTATACAGTGTACAAACAGTAATGCAGCCAAGTGGACCGGCTTTCGAAAATCAAAAACAGGCCTTGGGATAGTCGTGGTTGTTGGTGAAGCCACATGAACAGGAGTTACGATGAGTGTGATTCACGATCAACAAAGCGGTCAGTCGCGGTGCTAGAGCTTGCAGAAAACTGAAACTGAAAACTGTGGCTGCCTGAGAGAGTTCTAGCAACCGCACAAATACCACTATGTAAAAGTCTCTCTTGTCCAAACGACTGCTTCAGAAGAATTCCTGTTGTGTTAAAGAATCCGCAGCTGTCGCTCATTGGATTGTGGAAACAGTCAATTAAATTTTTGTACATGGAAATGTAAATCGAGGCGATTTCGAACATGCCGCGAAACTATCATTCAAGTCTAGTATCTAACCTGGTGCTTTTCGAAATATACCAATCCATTTTGACTTGGTTCGCCTTTCCACAAATTGACTCCCTTATCGAACTTAGTCCTCCTGTTGTTGCTTCCAAATAACAGGTGAGTGGCCTTGAGAGTGGCGGCTTTACGACCTTCCTAATCGCCCACGCCACGTGCACGCACACCATGTCCGAGACGGAACGCACTTTTATTATGGTGAAGCCGGATGGCGTCCAACGTGGGCTGGTTGGTGAAGTGATTCGACGGTTTGAGCAGCGCGGATACAAACTAGTTGGAATGAAACTGATGCACGCTTCTGATGAATTGCTCAGGAAGCACTATGAGGCCCATGTAAACAAGCCATTCTTTGCTGGGCTTAGTGCATATATGTCTTCCGGTCCCGTGGTTCCAATGGTCTTCGAAGGTTACCAGGTGAGGTCTATTTTGTGGCACTTATGTCGGTATTTTACTCTGTGGTCAGCACGAAAATTTGGTTCGAGCATTAAAGCTCTACATCTGTGTTCAATTTCCAGTCCGGAGCTTCGCATCCCCTAAAAGTAACTTAATAGATGAGACGCTTTCGGATAGTCCAAGCAAGTATTGTGGGATTTTAGGAACTTTTTGTTAATGGTCTTCGAAGGTTACCAGGTGAGGTCTATTTTGTGGCACTTATGTCGGTATTTTACTCTGTGGTCAGCACGAAAATTTGGTTCGAGCATTAAAGCTCTACATCTGTGTTCAATTTCCAGTCCGGAGCTTCGCATCCCCTAAAAGTAACTTAATAGATGAGACGCTTTCGGATAGTCCAAGCAAGTATTGTGGGATTTTAGGAGACTTATTGTTGAGCCTTGTCGATCTATGTACGTACGTATGTAAGTACGTCTTGAATACATGTATTTAGTCAAATGGTACATTGTGTGTGACAATACAGTGTGTGTGCTGGAGTCATCATCGTCATCAAAGACAGCAACATCAGTGCTGGCATTGATGCTTCACTGCCATAAGGTTCGTATTAAAAGCCCTAGAGTCAAAAGAAGAGTAGGTGAGGGAGGGGACCTAGTGCTGGTTTATGTCAAGCATTCTGAGGTGCCTACCCCTCCAACCGCTCAGTCAGACAAAAGTGGAAAGAAACTGACATCGACTAGCCGCAATTTCTTGCAACGTTTCCAGCCAAGCACAGGCGGGGTCACGGGGACCCCATCCTAACAGGCGTACAACGTCGAAACTCTTCTTTCACGCCTTTCTGCTAAGTCATGTGCTGTCCACCTCGCGGTTGGCGCCATCCTAAAGGAGGCACGGAAAACAAAATTTGTCTCGGTAGTCGGTGTTTCGGCTTGCGTACCATATGACTAAGCCATCGTAGTCGATGATGCTGGATGTTTTCTCGGATTGAAGTACCTGCAGCACAATTAAATACCAGTCTTCTAATCACCTCGTTACTAACACGCTGATGCCATCCGACTCCAGCCAGGTGTCTGAGGCACTGGTCGAAAACCTGAAGACGCCTCACATCATCTACCCGAAGAGGCCATGTCTCGCACCCATACAACAACACATCATTTACCGTAGCCTGGTACACACGACCCTTAAGATCCAGTGAGATGCCTTTCTGAGGCCACAAGTGACGCAAATTAGCAAACGTGATTCGAGCCTTTGAGATTCTTGCACTGACTTCATCAGACACACTTCCGTCAGAACTAATACAACT